ATTAGGATATTAATAATGAACTAGCAGATCATGTAGCTTTTGGAATAATCCACCAATTTTTTAAAATTAAACACTGTCTAATGATTTGCATCGAAACGTTTTTTTTTTATAGTGATTTTAATCACTGTCAGATATCATTATAATTGATTCAAGTATGCCACGTCACAACTGTGCCGCGACCCTCCTGTGATGGTTTTTTTTATTTTGTTCTGAAAAACTGTTCTTTTTAAAAATCACGTATAATTAAAGCTAATGAACTTCATTATTTTAAGATAAAAAAATAGTTATGTATGGTCGAAATCCAGTGCAGTATTGTTGAGGCATTATATGTTCGACGCATACCTTAAAAGCTATTGGTTTTACTGTAGTTAAATCTATGAATATTATGTTTAATTATTATAATATGTTAAAAATATTTTATAATTAATGAAGAGTTTATTAATTTTGAATATTTCTTAGAGTGATCTAAATCCTAATTATATCATTTAAATTTACATAGTCATAGTAACAGTTTTTTTATTTTTTGGTATTTGTGATCTGATTTATCTAAATTTCATTTATTCTATATTAAATTTTTATAGAAGTAAACTAAATAAAACACAGCTTTACAAAGGAATCGTTTTATCATAAATCTCTCGATTATCTGCAAAATAAATATAATATTGAACAAATTTTTTTATATTTTTTTTTGTTGTACATATTTCTTGATTTTTCAGCTAATAATTATTTTTTAAAATCATCCCTTATAACTTATAGGGGGTTTGTTAACTTTATTTTTTTAAATGGCTATGTATCTATTTAACTAGCCTATAACATATGAAATAATGTAATTAAGGAAATTACTGGTAAATAACAACTTCTTGGCCAATACTTTGGAAGTTATTTTCATTTTTATATCTAGGTGGNGTGGACGAACAGTACGGTCAAGAAATGATAAGTGATAAAAATAGCAGCACCCACTCCTCACTTACAGTCTTTACTTTAAATTGTTTATAACTTTTAATATACTGATTCAAAAGTTGTTATCGACCAGTCATTTTCTTAATTTTATTATATTCGATTTTATAACCAAACCTCTATAAGTTTTAAGGTATGATTCTATTTAAAAATTATTAGTTGATAAGTCAAGAAATAATGCAACTAAAAACATTTTTTTTTTATTTTGTTTTTTTTCTAATATTCTAATATTTTCTAGTAATAAAATGGTTTATGTTTTAATCTTTTAATTTTTATAACTTTGAAAAAAATTCAGATTTTTTTGTCCATGTAATATTAATTTATGTTGAATCATTGTTTTTTTTTTAGTGTTGTATTATAAGTCTATCTTATATTTTTCGATTTTGAATAGTTATTACAAAGTAACTTTAATGGCTTACATACTTTTAAAAAAAGAAAAATACACTTTATCATAAAATCAAGGGCTAATATGGCAATTCTAAGATCATTTTTGGATTCAATGACATCTAAATACTTAGATAAGAACCCCCATATCGGTGTAGCTGGTAACTTATTATTAGCTTCGATGCGACGCTGAGAAGGTATTGGTTTTACTAAGATGTGTTTTTTTTTGTGTCTGTTACCACTTTTTCTCAGCTCTCACCGAACCGATT